ACAAGAGCTCACAACAACAGAACTGCGCCTAAAACTCAAAGACACTGAAATGTAAATGAAAACATCTAAAAAAATGAATATTTGGCCAAGAGAGTAGTACTATTTATTTTTTTTATCTATACTACCTTTCAAAAGTTCAGTTAGATTGTTTTTCTTATTTAAAAGAAATGAATACTTTATTCAGCAAGGATGCATGAAATTGATCAAGGATGCTTTTAAATTATTATAAAAAAAATGTTCTTTTGAACTTTCTATTGCATCAAAGAATCCTGAAGAAAATGCAGCACAACTAACAAAGAAAAAAAACTTTAAGCAGCACAACTGTGATGACAATTATGAAATGTTTCCAACTATTAGAATCATTTCTGAAGGAATATGTGGCACTGGAGTAATAACATCTTTTCCATCACAGGAATAGAAAACAGTTATTTAAAATTGTGTTTCGGCTAAACACAGTCAGTTTGACAGAGAACTCTACCTGTTAACGCATCACTAGTGACATCACTACATTCTCAGCATAGCATCCCACAGGAAACAAAGATCAGAAGAGAAGGCAAGAGTGGAGAACCTGCCCTGACATGAGTGTGGAACTGTCAGTGAACTCTCACCACAGACGTTCTCTCTCAGCTGCATAACCTAGTTTCATACGGCACGTTAAATATGTCATGCCAGTCATTCAGGGAAATCGAGGAATTGCATATCCCATTTTTAGACTCAATATGGGTAAAAGGGCACTAAAGATTCAACTAAATGATATTTGAGGTCAAGAGAAAGGCAGTCAAGTACAAATAGGTCAAGCTCTAAAATAATCATCAGCTACACCCTGATTATGGGAGAAAACACCATGCAAACAATGAAAACTAGTTAAACCGCCACGAGTTGATGACATGGATAGAGCAAGTATAATACTGAAAAGATCTTTATTTTAGGATACCAGAAGGCAGTGTGTTCTTACATTTAAATAAACACTGACACTCATGCATCGGGGCTAAACAATAAGAATTGCTTTTCTGCAGTAGTTCAAATATGCACTTTTCAATATTATTTAAAACACATTTTACATTTAGAAACACACATTACTGTTCAAAAGATTGGGTTGCTAGGATTTTTTAAGGAAGTCTTTTTTTTTAAAGGCAATATTCAAAATGACATAATAGGGGCACTTTAAGAAACATTCCTTAGTATTATCAATGTTTAAAAGAGTTTAATATTTTTGTGGAAACCGTGATACTTTGATGAATAGAAATTGCAAAAGAACAGTATTGAAATACAAATCTTTTGTAACCTTATAAATGTATTTACTGTCACTTTTGATCAGTTTAATGCATCCTTG